GCACTATTTCTCTTGTGGTTTTAACTTTTATGAGGTTTCTATAGACAACTCCTCTGTTTACCCTTAATTTAAAAAATTTAAATGACCGGGGGACAGACACCGTCTCTATAGGTTTTTCACTAAATAACTCCTGGAATGGAGGAGCAGAGAAGAGGGTTACATTACAACTCCTTCCTCCTCTCAACCCTGGACTGTCACCGATCTAGTCTGCTAACAATGTTGGCTAGGTTTCTAGAAATGAGAGCGGCTCCCTCCCCCGTGGGATGGATGCCGTCTCTCCTAATCAGGCCACGTCTTCCCCAGAAAGACTGCCAGTGATCCACAAAGACCACATCATTGGCTGGGCACCACCTCGCCAGCCATCGACGGAAAGATGACATGCGGCTAAACATGTCATCACTAACCAGGTTGGGCAAGGGGCCAGAGAAAACTACGGTGTCCGACATTGTTCTAGCATATCTACAAACTGACTCCACATTTAACTTAGTGACTTCTGACTGACGTAACCGGGAGTCATTAACGCCTACGTGGATAACAATCTTACTGTATCTACGTCTACCCTTAGCCAGAAGTTTCAAATAAGACTCAATGTCGCCCGCTCTGGCCCCAGGAATACACTTAACTACACTCCCTGGGGTGTTCAGCTTCACATTCCTCAGAATCGAGCTACCTATTACTAGGGTAGGCTTCTCAGCGGGTGGCTCGCTGAGTGGGGAAAATCTGTTAGCTACTCGAACAGATTGAGGGGACACTAGGTGCTTAGACTTTTTACGGCTATTCCTCCCTCGGACAGCCACCCAGCTTCCTTTTCCTGGCTGCTCAGGAGAGGCCGGAGGGGGGGAAGGGGGGGGACGGCTATCAGCTAACTCAGGTCGGTCTGCACCGACTACCTGGGACTGGCTACACTTAGCTAGCCTAGCTAAGGGCTGCTCTACTACGGTGCGGAGCCGAGCTTCTAACGCACTGAGCCTCGCCTCCATGTCTAGAAATAAACTACACTTGTTACACATACCACTACCGTTAAAGGAGGCAGAGGAGTAACTAAACATCAGACACACCGAGCAAGAAAGAGCAGGAGAGCGAGAGGGAGAAGCCATCGCTAGCTGTTAAAGTCGCTAACGGCTAAACAAAAGTACGGTAGAGCCACCGGAACCTTTGTTACATCCGCTATAAGACAGAACAGCAGTCACCCAAGATGGAAAGAACTATTGGTGCTTAGGCAAACTTACTGAAATATAATTACGTTATATGGTAGTTAGCGAGAGCAGAGAAAAAAGCGCTACCACCACACAAACACCGCTAACACCGGAAACGGAAATGGGTCGATACGCTTACCGCTACGCTTACGCCAGCTTACGCTTACGCCAACTACTGACACACACCTCTGAAGAAGTTCTCTGTAGGCTCACTTCCTCAGCAGTTTATGCCAAATCCGCCTTTTCCAACTCCAGTATACGTTTTCGTTTTCGTCCAGATTCCACTTGTATTAAATGTTAAAATGATTTTATGTTGGGGACCAGGACGTTTCTGTGTGGGGTTTGCATGTTTTCCTGCATAGGTTCTCTCCGGGTAGAGTAGGGTTTCTCAAATTAAGCCAAATGTTTGTTAGTGTTGGTTTACCCATTTTACAATGTTATGTTCATATGCATCTGTGGACAGTTAGACTTTGCAAAGCATTGTGGAAACTTACCTCAGAACAGTCAAGTTCTATGGAACAATTGGTACTTTAGACTTTAAGTGAATTTGTTCAAAGCTAGCTGAAACATTCTTAGAGAAGCTTTTTTTTGTCAATGACTTAAGTTGTTTTTAGGAATAGTTCTCCAGGCCTCTTGAATGGCATTCAAAAGCTTATTTTTGGATGTTGGCTGCCTTTTGTTCTTTCCACTGTTAAGATGATTCCACACTACGTTATAATGTTGTGATTCAGGATCTGGGGAGGATTAATGCACTTTCAGTCCACTTCGTGTGTCATTTGAAACGCCTCTGCATTTTCTCACTGTTTCCATTTTTTTAAAGAATGGCTTTCTGAGCTGGCTTTATAATACATCTGATGGATCAGATGAAAAATTCATATGTGTGAAACATTTTTGAGATCCAAGAGGAAATCAATTTCCATCCATTGCCTGGATCATTGAGAAGCTACACCAACCCACATCCACTTTCTACTCCACATAGTTTAGGCCTGACGCTTGTCTTTGAAACTAGAACAAAAGAAGTGTCTTTTTGACATAGGTTGACTATAAAGGTGCCTAAAAACTTGATTGCTTCTTGCTAAATGTGTGAAGTAGCTAAACAAATGAGAAATATGTTCTTCTTAAACTTGTCATGTATGGTGACTAAAGACAAATGACAAATCATCAACATTTAAAAAAAAAAAAAAACATTAATAGATTACAAAAAGTGAAGAAAAGAAATGGCGTTGCTAATTTCTACAGTGCTGTAGAATTGATATTAACATTTTATTTGTGTGAGGTTTGATTATATTTCCTGGTATTGTATTTCTAAAAAGTTTATTTGGTTATTTGAAATCGTTACACATCTGTGGTCCCTGAGCTACACCACAAATAAGCTAAGTCCACATAGAGCTTTACATGGTAATATTGCATTTGATTTTAAATAATGAACTTATATTACTGCCCGATTCTGTATGGAAATGTGGTCCACAGCAATGGAACTGCTGTGAAGACAAAAGAATTTAACCCAACATATTAAGGGGCCCCGTTAACACTATAATGTCCCGCTCCATGACAGATTTCTGAGACTATACCTTCCTGATCCATCCCGGCCACTCAAATTAGACTTGCATTACAAAAAGGGAAGGGTTTTTTTGCCAATACTTTAGAAAAATACCATTTTAGCCATGTGTTAAATAAAAAAAAGACTCTTCATATGATTGTTTGAATGAAAATAAAAAACTTAAATAAGTAACTCTTAGAATTAACGTACACTTTCTTCACCTCCTCAGAGAGTGAGGATATTTTAACCATAGATGTGTCTTTGTTAAACTGATTTGACACTTTTTTCTGTCTTACCTCATTTACCTCAGGAACAGCTGAGAAATAAAACTCCAATCTGTCACTGCAGCTACACTATTTAACTGCCTTGATGATTTGGTTGTGGATATAGACAGTGGGGCCCTCCGTCAGGCTCAGGTTTTGCAGTGAGGTGTCAGGTTATATCATGGAAGGAATCTCATTGCATCATCTGTCATTTTCGCTATTTAGATGTTTTCATAGTGGCAGTTCATATTTTGAATAAGGAGTTAGGAGACAGATGTACATTGCTCTGCGTAACCCACTAGGTTTGCTATCACAAACATAATCTTTTGAGGTGAAAAGGTCATCAGGATTCGTACAGGAAATAAGTAAGGAGGGACAGAGATGCCAGAAATACATGACCAACTTAATGTCTTGGTGCAACAGGAAGTTATTATTAACTACACTGGTTTGATCATTTTTTATTTCACATATGTCCTGATAAATATTGCATTCATGTAAAGACAAATATAAGGTCATGCAAACTTTAAACCATTTAAATATCACCATTCAAGGGCATTTCCTAATGAGCAGCATTATTGCAGACTTTTTAACCACAAAACATTTTTCATGGGACAATTCATTATAAATGGTCCCCAAATTATTTTTTCTGTCATGCTGTGCATTGCACTTGTCACATAAAACGCAGGGTTACAATTATAGAATAATAAATAATAAAGCAAATGTATTCAAAGATGTTATTTTTTAACACAATAAATTAAATCATGGGATAGGTGCATTTAGAGAGTATTTACCAATCCAACAGGGAAAGATTCAGGTTAAACAGCTGTGCAAGCATTCCAATTTTAACAATAGGATTTCCAGAATCTGACTGCAGCTATTATATCCTGTGAAGCAGAGCAGGTGCTGAGGTCTTTTCTGCTATATGTGGGTTTTAAGTGCACATGTGTGTAAGCGCATTAATACATGCTACAATGACTTTGTTTCTAAATTTCTTCCCTTACTGGTACAAGTGCTGGTACGTTTCCCAGCTTAAGCATACTTTTAAACTATTTCAATCCATCCATAGCCATGACTTGAAGTGCTGAGCAATTTTATAATCATCTTTAAAAACACAAGCAGAAAGGAACACTGGGCCACTTTGAACATCTAAAAGGCTTGTACTGTTCCACGGTGGGCCTCAGTGGACTCTCCTGTGACTGGCATGTTTACTAAACATTGTAATAGCATAATTTTCTGCTATGCTGCACTCAAAGTGGAACAGTTTGTTTAATTTCTGAATGGCAAAAAGGTTACGCAAGGATGTCATATTAAAGCAGGAAAGGCAGTCCTGGGTACATGTTTCCCACCCAGGATATTTTTAGGCATAAAAAGGGAAAGTCTGGAAAATTATTTTGCTTCTGTATGAGTGTCTAAGAATGTAATTTAGTACTATTGTTTCAAATAGTCACAAACCGATTATTCTCTATCCAGTCTTCAGCTTCTATAACAAATAATCAATATCTGACTGTCCAGGTACTATTGGTTGAGAGTTATTAGACGTGAACATATCACACTGAGACAAATCAAAAGTTGAAAATGCATCAGTTACTCCTATTGTCAGGAGTGACCCAATAACCCAAAAAAGGATTTTATTTGGATGGTCAGAGTGCAAGGCATATGAAGTATCTGGAGAAAAACTATGAATGCAGGGGGGTGTAAAAAAACAACAACCTCTTGCTTGGAGGTCAAAGTTCTAAACTCCATACCTTTATGCAGCCTTTCTACCATATGGTCTATCTTTACCAGTCTAATAACAGTTTTGTCAGCTAGGGGAAAAGAATAACGTGCAGAGAGTAACATTTAGAAGAGTAACGTATGTTTTAGATTCATAAAAAAACTTGGTAAACTATCTGGGGTCAGATTACCTTTAAATGGAGGTAAAAGTTCCATTACAAGTAAAGCCACCAGCTATAGATGACTGTGAACACTGCTAATAGCTTTTATTTCTTCCTTTTTTTGCAGGTATGGTTCTCAGATGACTGCAAATTCAGAGAACGTTTTCAGGAGAACAGCTACAATACATATGCTTCCGTAATCCACAGGAACCACAGGACCGGTCGTGACTGGTTTGTGGCCCTCAATAAGAGGGGGAAAGCTAAAATGGGCTCCAGCCCAGGGGTCAAATCCCAGCATGTCTCCACTCACTTTTTACCCAGACTCAGCTTGCAGGACAAGAGTGAAAGAGGATTCACCATCACAGCAAAGAGCAAAGAGAGGAAAAAAACACCGCCACCACTGGTGAAATCTTTACAAGTGAAGTCAAAAGTCCAGACAGGAACAGTCCCAAGACGCACACAAGTCAAATACTGGCCTAAGTACAGGTTTGGATAGGCTCACAGAAGATGGATCTATAAGTAACATACCAGAAAATTGTCATCTATGACAGTCAAATCATTCCATAAATCTGCGTAGAAAAAACCTCAAAGGGCTGCTAAGTACAAATATGGAACATTTTTTTGTTGAAACTGAAGTCATATTTTGGTTTTGCATCATTTTTGATGATGCTCAGTAATGTCTTATGTTGTCATTTGTCACAATGGTATAAAGCTGGAATCCATAACTATGTGCACATTGGAGGCCGGGCTCACACAGTTTATCATTTATATTCTTTGATCGTGTTGTAAGATATACGTTTCTTTTAACATCACAAATCTGATATCAGTATTGAACCGTAGTATCAGATAAATTACAAAGAAGCAAACAATAGACTGAGAAAGATATGTAATTTATTTTTCTCCCAACTATGCATTTCTGCCCTATAATTACCTTTTGTATTCATATGAAAGTGCAACTTTTTTAGACATGTAAAATATGATCGTTCATCAAATATTTGAATTTTAACTTTGATCTGAAAACAAAAAAAAACATTAAACAGTGATTTAGCTTTCTTTTTCTTTTTTTTTTTTTTACATTTGATCCATTAAGCATGAAATGCAAATGGGCCAGCTGTAGGACAGGAGGGCAAAGTTGCTGTTTGAGTCCCCAACTTTACTAACTTACCATATACAAATGTTCCTGAGCAGCAATCAAACACCCACATTCTCCCCAAATAGGTTTCTCACTTGTCAATTCCTTGGATAAAAACATCTGCTGTTGAGTAATGTAACACGTCTCCAGCCTCAATGTAAAGCTCAACGCTTTTCAAACATCAGATTAGAGGTAATCAGCAGGAAACCATAGCCTAATTCCATGCAGACTTTCCTCCTTTTAAACAGTTGTTAAGGATCAAAGAGAGAACTGCCCATCAGAACTATCATTTTAGCGACCGGCTGTCCACAGGAAAATCCAGAGTCATGACCCTAGGACATTCTGCCCACGAAGAGCTCACTCTGCAAGTCAGTCTGTCAGTCAGTCATTTTGGGGAATGTTCAAGTTGTAAGTGTATTGGTTAGGAAACAGCCACTAAAATAGCCACTTAGGAACTCTTTCAATCTCAAATCAATCTCAAGGGAGGCAGGCAGGGTTTAGTTTAAATGATAACAGAAATAATTTGTTCTTTTAAACTGTGTCAACTTTTTCAAATCAAAATATTATTAATTTCTATTAAATGAAATACCACTTCTTTTTTTGGGCATTGTATCATCATTAAAACGAAGGTATAAATAACCAAAACATCCTCAGAAGTATATCTTTCATGTACACGACATTGTCAAGAAGCAAAAGTCTTAAAATCAAGGCAACGTAATAGACAATATATCTATAAGTTTGAGTGTGAAACCCAGGGGCGTCCTCTGAACTATCTGAATCACTATGGCAAGAAACATGGATACACGCTGTGCTTTCTCCTAGGGGATCCAAGTTCATGACCAAAACTTTACTGCTGCTTTCTTGTACTATGTTCTTTTCACTTCAGTAAAACTGTACTGTTAATTCTTGATGGGGTTTTGGCTAGATGCCAATATACTCACTTCATGTCCATTTGCTCTTATGACCACTAGAGGTCACATGTTTTTTGTTGTTGTTTCGTTTTGTTTATTTTTTTGTTTTATTTTTAATGTCTTTATATTCACAGCATCATGTGGCTGGTTCTGGGTAGAAAAACTTCAAGAGCTTGGACTTATAACGTGTTTAAGGCTATCGATATTAAGTACACAGTAAGATACACTGTCTTCTAATCATAGGTCAGCTAAGAATCAGTATAATGGATAAAACTGTCATTATTGCCTTGTTTAGATCTTAGTAAAAGTATGTATCTTTCACATTTGAACTATTAACCTATGCAGCCCTATTCATTGAGGGGGCATAATAATTTGAATATTCTATCATTGATAAATTATATTTTAACTGCATTTACCCAAACACACAAATAAAGTGACTGAAAACAAAAATCATTGGTCAGGATTCAACATAATGTAACACAAATACTATAATGGTTATAGCTCATGTTAACCTAGTGGAATAGATCCACATCAGGCTAGATTTTTCCAGGGTTTTATCCCCCCAAAAATATTTCCCACTGTTCTTGTGTTTTCATAGATTGTATATTTAATAATTCCTGATATTTCTGATCTTCTCTGTTATGTGTTCCTCACACACACATTCAACTGAATATTTTTATACCAGTGTTTTTTATGAGAATATGCATGATTTTCAGTTTTTAAGTCATAAAACTACTGGAAAATAGATACATGACTTGATGTTCTTGATACATTTTGTTCCACATCGCATCCAGTAAAGCCATTTTGCATGATCATCATACAATAGGTTTTTTTGCTCTTTTTTATTTTCAAGGAAGACTTAATTGCTTCCGAGTTCAAAAAGGATAATTGTGCAGAAAAGTGTGAGTATGAAATCCCCAGAAAATCTCCAATATATAAAAAGGTTCACGGTGTGTGTGTGCTGACCGGTCTGTCTGGGTAATGTTGTTTAAGTCATCGAAGGCCATGCTACATTTTTATTGCCATTCTCCATCCTTTTTAACCATATGAGCCTGAGTGGGGTTCCTCCTCAACTGACACTTCTAATGCAGTAATTGCCCATATCACTCTCTTGCACAAGGAAAATTATGTGAATATTTGGGGAAGGTAAGAAACGGTCAGACGACAAAGGTGCATGGAAAAGTAAGAATGTAAATCTTTTATAACTATTTTTAAGACATCAAATATATTGATAAAGTCTTTGATGTTACGGCACAAAAACTACAATATATTTTGTTGATGTTACCTATGATCACATGAAAGGTGAGACATCAAGAAAACCTTATTAGCAGATTTTGTACCACAACAGCCCTACATGCACCCCAAATACAGTATATGTGGCCAAAGCAGCTCAGTCAATCTGCTGCTGTGCATGATGTGCATACATAGCAGTAGATATTTTATTTATACATTGATAAATATGACTTTATGTCTGATTAAACTGGTGCAATTATTAGGGGTAAATCTCTTCCTGCTAGTCATTCATGTTTGATTAATGATTCATTGTCATTCCCTAGTGAGATGCTGTGGGAGCCTCTTTATGGAGTTTAGCCAACAATGTAAACTCCTTTATATTCAAAATACATTCCACGTTAAATATGGTATAGCCTATTGTTAACCCTGTCATACAAATGCTATATACAAATCTCCCCAGTCCAGTCTTGAAGATCAAGGCCAATGCAATAAACTGTCACAAAGTAAGATCTAGTCAAGGTAGTCTTGGGCTGCAACATTCTAATATATGTCTAGATATGACAGTAATTAAATATAAGAATATAATACAATGCCATCGTGGAGGGGGCATGGCGCTCAGCTGCAGGATGGGAGGTGTGGGGAAGGCTCAGGGGAGCAGTGCCAAGGGAGGTGATTAGGCACATCTGGTATCAGCTGATGAATCACTCTCCCCTCTTTAAAAGAGTAGCGTGCTTGACCTGGAGGAGGAATGGCAGCACAGGAAGCCACTGGGCCACTAGATCAATGGATCACTGGATCTAAAGCACTGAACTCTACCAACGGTGTGTGTGTGTGTGAGAGAGAGAGACAGAGAGAGAGTGAGCGAGCATGTGCGCGCACACAATAAAAGTCTTGCAACAAAACCCTGGTCTTGGAGAGTCTGTCGAGGCACCCTGGTGGCAGAACTGCCACAGCCATGTGATGCAATACCATGAAATAATTACCATAAATTACAAGTCTAAAGGTAAAAAAATGGGAAAGAAGTTGTTTTTTTCTCTTCTCTGAAATACATAAATGTTGCAAAAGCATGAAAATACACTGACAAAATTAATTGTGGTTCTAGATGGAAACAGAAAAACTAAAATGCTCTTTCATGACAACAAGCCTGAAATTATTTTTATTTTGTATATATTAACTAGTAAAGCTGGTAGCAGGGAAACCTTGAAAACATGCAGGGCAGGGTGCATTGAGGACCAGGATTGGGAAACACTGGTCTACAGCACCCGTTTGACCTTACAAGGAGTAAGTGGTATGGACAATGGCTGGATGGTATTAAAAATAAATAAAAAACACGAAGAATATATCTTGTAGATTAGTGCAGTCATGTGTAAAACGGGACGAAAAGTTCCTGTGTATACAAAACTATTCGGAGCATCAAAGTCTGTCTGATTAGGTCTGGGTATATGGGCCAACTTCCTAAATCAATTTGATTTTCATTCACAAGGTTTGAATTAATTAACCACAGTTCAATTCAATCTGGTCTTGATAATTAAATAGGCTCTACTGTGTTAGAAAATACAAGTGTACTTTAATTAATTAATAAACAACTGGTTTTAAGTACAAACTTGTAAACTTGACAAACTTGAACTGTGAACAAAATTGCCTGGAGTCTTAGTGACTGGTCACTAAGTCTACGATACTTGTGCGGGAAAAGAAGCTCCTGGGGTTAGTCAACTTGTTTTTGCAGTGACAATATCAAAGGTATTGCTTTTCAAACCAAGTCATCAGTACATACTCTACGGTGGCCCTGAGGTGCAAAACATTACGACATTAACGAATGCACAACAACATTAATGAAAACACAACGACATTAATAAAAACACTACAACATTAATGAAAACACAACGACATTAACAAAAACACTACAACATTAATGAAGCACAAATACAAATTCAAAAACACAACATTAACGAAGCACAAATACAAATTCAAAAACACAACAACATTAACGAAAACACAACGGAAGTTGCTGATTGCTAAGTTGCTAAGAAGTCGCTGATTGGACTACAGCTCGTTTTAC